AAAATTACAAAATTCTCACTGCACCTACCAGCGTTCTCTTGGGGGGGGAGAGCTTGTGAAACATTAATTTCACAGATATTAGAAAGGGTGTCCCCTACACATGTACAGTGTGCATGACAAAAGTTCTATCAATCCCATGTAGGAAATACCACCCCTATACCAACATGCAATATGCTCTAAAGTCATTTCAGTTTGTTTGGTTTTTTGTTTTGTTTTGTTTTGTTTTGTTTTATAGTCCAGATCACTGATGGCCATGACATTAGAATTCTCACTGCCATTCTTCTTAAGACAAATTCATTTGTGCCAAACAGAAGCATCCCACAGAGATTCTTTTCTGTCGACAGTCTAGCAAACAGAGGAGTGTGCATCCAACAGCCAGTGAGCTTCCTGCTCATTGCCCTTCCCACCCTCCCTCCTCAGAAACCACTGGAACTTACTCTTGAAGACAGCAGTCAATATTAGAGACTAAGAAGAAGGCTCTTAAGAGCTCTTGGGATTAAAGCCATCTTTCCATGGAAATGTTTGTTTGTTTGTTTGTTTGTTTTGTTTGTTTATAGTTCTGAAAGCTAGTAGTTCAGCAAGGGGTGGGTTCCAAATGGCTTCTCTTACTAGATTATTAGTGACTGCCTTCTTGCTAGAGAAGAGGGATGAAGGAGGAGGAGAGGAAATTGACTTTATAGTACACTTACTAACCTTGACCACTTTGTTAAAGCTCCTATTTTAATATTCAGTCCCATAGGGGTTCAGGACTCAAGTATGCAAAATTCAGGGTCACACTAATCAAACCATGGTATCAGATGCCCCACCTCCCACACCCCACAGCCCCCGTCACTGACCTTTTTTCTCCTGGACAGGTTCTCGGTATTTGGCCTGGGCTCTCGGGCATACCCCCATTTCTGTGCCTTTGGGCATGCAGTGGATACCCTCCTGGAGGAGCTGGGAGGGGAGAGGATTCTGAAGATGAGGGAAGGGGATGAGCTCTGCGGGCAGGAAGAAGCTTTCAGGACCTGGGCCAAGAAGGTCTTCAAGGTAGGGGACCCATTGTACCCCAGACATTCCTGTCCATGGAAGAAAATGTGGATCAGTGATGGGGCGGCTCAGCAGTAGGGTGCTTGCCTAGCATGTGAAAGGAAGGTGGGAGTGGGAAGAAAAAAAAGGGAAGGAAGAAGGGAGGAAAGGAGGAGGGAAGAGAGCAGGAAGTAAAGGAGAGAGGGAAAGAGGAGAAATGTAACGTTGAAAAGGATGAAAAAGGAGAGAGGGAGCGTAGGCAAGGAAGGGCTTTTCCCCAATGCACACAGCCAGAGACACAGCTTCAATGAGTTTGAGCAACCTTAACACACATTTTCCATTCAGGACCCTGTGGCTTTTACTTCTCTCTGTCCACTGCCCTGAATCAGTCCTCAGCAGCAGCCCCAGAAGGAAGGGTCCTGGGAAGCTTTTATCATTAAACTTGTGCAGAAGGCAAAAGGGAAAACTGAGATCCAAGGCTCTACTAGGGGGAGCTGAGTCTATGAGCTTGTTCCTGAATTTCCACCCAGACACATTTGAGAGCTGAGATGATGCGAGTTCATTCATATCTGAGAGAACTGCACTTCCTCATCTCATCAGCCAGTCTTGACTGAGCATCCCAGAGGCCAGGCCCTTGAAAGCCTCCAAACCCTGTAGCTGTCTGCTTCCTGGCCTCCCTTCACACGCCCAGCTCAGTTTCTATGACTGTAGACATTCCTTCTTGTTCATTTCATATGAATGAAACCTTAGTACCTTTACCTACTGTAAAGATTTTAAGGTTCATCTGAATTGCAGCATGTATCAGCACTTTTTCTCTCTTTGTGATCAAATAATATTCCACAGTATAATATCGTGCTTTTCTATTTTTCTGTTGATGAACATGTCAGCTGTTTTTTAATCAGCACACAGCCAGATAATAATAAACCCGATGTTTGAAAACTTTAAATTTCACTGAAAAATAGTTCTATGGTTGTTTATGTCTTAGTCTCAATTGTTTGTGAGGCTGAGGCAGGGGAATCACTTGAGCCCAAATGTCCAAGACCTTCCTGGACCTATCTCAGAAAATGTTTACTAATGGTTCTGAGCAGTAATTCATGGGGTTATTAATGTTTGCTGATAAAGAAGCTTTGAGCAAAAAGGAAACCAAAAAAAAGAAGAAAAAGAAAAAGAAATGTGTATCCAGACAGTGTGCCTTGCCTTTGTATAATTGTTTTAAATCTTTTGAAGAAGATGAAAGGAAAATCTATAGTATTTACTTTTGTTTTTAATGTTAAGCCTCTGGACATGTGGGATTTAGTAATAAATGTCATCACAGATGTTGCCATAGAAGGGAGGACCTCGAGTCACTGCTCAAAAATGTAGGGTGATGGTGGGCACATGGATGGACAGATGGGGGTAGATGGGTGGGTTATGAAAGAGTGTGTAGGTGGATGAAATATTAGGTAGAGATGGACAGATATATGGGTGACTAGAAAGGCAGACAGCTGTGTAGAAGGATGGAGGGATGGAGGGATGGTTGGCTAGTTGGATGGATGGAAGAGTTGGACAAATAGCTAGGTAGATAAAAGGATGGGTAGGCCAATGGGTGGGTAAATGGTTTGGGAGAGAGATGGTGGAAGGAAGGACAGGTATATGGCTCAATGGGTAGAGAGAGGGAGGGAGAAAAAAGGGATAAGAACAGAGAAAGCGAGGGAGGGAGACTTCCAGGCAGTGACTTGGAGTTCATGGGGAGGAGCCATCTAGGATAACTGAGGTCACCATAACTCTCCGTGGGCTGCAGGCTGCCTGTGATGTGTTCTGCGTTGGGGATGATGTCAACATCGAGAAGGCGAACAATTCCCTCATCAGCAATGACCGAAGCTGGAAGAGGAACAAGTTCCGCCTTACATACGTGGCTGAAGCTCCAGAGCTGACCCAAGGTACCTGACATTGTCTTCACGGCAGACCTTTCTAACTGTGAGAGGGTGGGGCGGAGAGCTCCCCTTCGGGGTGTGTGGGAGCAGTGGCTGCATCCTTCTGGTCTCCCTTTCAGAGAAGCCCTTGCATACACACGGGCCACACTTCTGTCCTCACATTCAGGGGACTGCCCAAGTGGGCACCTCTCTCCATTCTCACCTCCGTTCCATTCACCTTGCCATCTGGTTTGCTATCTGCAAACACCTCACCCAGCCCCACCGATGCCAGCACCCTCTTTCATCCCTTCCACTACAGAGGAAGCTCTGCAGAGGGATCTGGGGATTTGGCTCAGTTGGTAAAGTATAGGCTTTGCAGACACCAGGACCTGCGTTCAGTTCCTCAGAACCCAAGCTTTTGCCAGGCATGATAGCATGTGCCTGTAGTCCCAGCACCGGGGAAGAGGTGGCAGGAGACTCCTGGGGCCCACTAGCCTGCCAGCCTAGCCTAGCTGGCCAGATCCAGGACAGTGAGAGACCCTGCCTCAAAATATAAGCTTGTACAGCACCTAAGCGGCGGCAGCCCAGGTTGTCTGTCCTCTGGCCTATCCGCACACACTCACACACATGCAGCTGCACACACCATCACACATATACATGGATATGCATGGATGAGCATGCATATATCCAAAGCTGGAGAGGTCTTGTGGACCACTGCTTAACCCCCTCTCACAGCGACCATTATTTCTCTCTCCGCAGGTCTTTCCAACGTCCACAAAAAGCGAGTCTCAGCCGCCCGGCTCCTCAGCCGCCAAAACCTGCAGAGTCCTAAATCCAGGTAGGAGTCGGCGGCACCCCCTCTGCTCCCGGCTGCCACCCACAGCCAGGAAGGAGCACTCAGACTCCAGAGAGTGCTCTGAGCTGCTCTGAGTCCCCTTCCACCAGGTCGTAGATTCCTGCCTTCCCTTCCCCATGACCCCCAACCAGAGACTGGGACAAAGGAAAGGTGTTGCACACGCAAAGTAGATGAAGAAAATGGGCTTCAAGGTAACCTTAACCGGGGGGGGGGGGGGGGTGGGAAATAGCCAACTGTTCTCTGTGGGCAGCAGCTCCATCAGAAAGTGCTTGATCCAAGTATTTTCTTACGGTAGGGGATGCTGTCTGGAGCAACAGTTCTCAACCTGTGGGTCGTGACCCCTCTGGGGGTTGTATGACCCTTTCAGAGGGGTCCCCTAAGACCATTGGAAAACACAGACAGTCATGTTATGATCCACAACAGCGGCAAAAGTACAGTTACGAGGGAGCAACGAAATACAGCGTGAGGGGCTGTGTTAAAGAGTCACAGCGTTAGGAAGGCTGAGAACCACTGCTCTAGGGAAACGCAAAAATAAGCCCTCACCATACGGAGTGGCAATAAGCCCACCCAAAACGCCTCATTCTCTCCTCTGAGGCCCTCAGAACATTACATTATCTGTGAGTGGGTACCTGTGTATCACAGCATGCCTGGGGAGAGCAGAGGACAACCCCGGGGCGTCCACTCACACCTTCTACCTTCTTGGGGACAGGGTCTCATCACTGGTACATAAGCCGGAAGATCCGGCCCCTGGAGCTTTTGTAAACCCTCCTGTCTCTTCCTATGGGGTGCCTGGCTCACAGGAGCATGTGTTCTGTCTGCATTTGGCCTTTTGCTGTTGTTGTTTGTTGTTCGTTTGTTATTTGCTTGTTTGTTTATTTATTTATTTGCGTGTGTGCATGTGTGAGTTTCTGTGTGTGCACTGGGTAAGTGGCAGAAGAGAGTATCCCCACAAACTGGAGTTACGGATGATTGTCGGCCTCCGTGTGGGTGCTGGGAACTAAACCTGGATCCTCTGCATGGCCACCAGTGCTCTTAACCACTGTGTCACCTCTCCAGCCCTGCACATCCCGCCTTCTATGTGGGCTGTAGAGATCTGAACTCAGGTCATTAGGCTTGTGTGGTAAATGCTTTTACCCACTGAGCCATCTCTGCAGCCCTAGAAAGTATCTCACTACCCAGCACAGCCCAACATCTTACTATCTACGGTAGCCAAATGCCTTGCTGTCTGATATAAAGTGTGCTGGCCTCAGCACTTGGGGAGTTGTGGCTTTTGTTTTATGCGATGCTGGGTCTTGAGCCTGGTTGCTTATACACATTGGGGAAGCTCTGGACCCCTGAACCACATTGCACTTGACATAAAACCCACTTAGCCTATTCAGCGACACCCAAAACAGTCACTTCTTCCCGATGAAAGATTTGAACCCGTGCTTCTAAGATGTTCTCCTGATGACCTGGCTTCCTGGGCTCTGGGATTTAATCCCAGGGCTCTTAGTGTCCACTGGAGATATCAGTCTCAGACCCCATCACCAGCAGCAGACGCTACATGATCACTACCGATGCCAGTGTTGGACCAGCCCAAACAGGACATGCTAATATCACCTATCAGGCACACACTGTCCTCACTGAGCCCAGGCATCCCTCCTTTCAAAATGATCACACCCAGACTGGCTGCTCCTCCGCATCTATAAGTCATTTTTCAAGTCTTTGGGAAATTTTTTTTTCACTTTTTTCAGTGACAACCCAGGTAGATCTTTTAAATTATGTGTGTGTGTGTGTGTGTATATATATATATATATTTTTTTTTTCAGCCCTAGGCATCGACCCCAGCTCTTTCATACACAAACTGGGTCTGTGTGGCCTTAGAAACATCACTGGGTAGAGAGTAGAGAGCTGGGGAGAGATGGCTCAGTAGTTAAAAGCACTGACTGCTCTTGCAGAGGACCATGGGTCAGTTCCCAGCTCCCACATGACTATTCACAACCGTCTCTAACTCTAGCCCCAGGAGCTTTGGCTCCCTCTTCTGGCCTCCACGGGCAGCAGTGAGCATGCGTACATTCAAAACATTCATAGACAAAATAAAAACAAATGTTGGTTTGTTTTTTTTTTTTTTAAAAGTTACTTGGATGCTCTGAGTACCTTTCTCCTTCACTCTAGTATGGAAATACTGGCAGCAGGCTTGCACAAGTCGTATCTAATGCACTCTCTCTTCCACGTACCGTGCGGAGCCACCAACGCTGTTTCTCACTCACACCAGCCCAGGAAGTGAAGGATGTTAGATATGCAAAGCGACTCTGAGAAAAAGCGAGTGACTTTTTCAAGGTCACACTGACCTGGTTACTGGCTGCCACACCAAATGACTCCGCAGATGGCCTCCATCACATTTGCCAGGCTGCTGTGACCACTGAAAATGAGCCTCCTGAAGTTGCTGGCACAGTACAGGATCCATTCACAGTCCTCGTTCCTCCTAACCGCCTCATATCGGGTGCAAATTTGGCATGTGTGCTTCCTGCATGCCCTTCCATGCCTTTGATTAAAGAGGTCATTAGGGTAGAGCCCCAAGCCTCTTAAACTCTCTCTCTCAAAGATTGTCAGACATTGATGGAATACATTAGGCGCTTAATGTCTTTGAGCAATTAGTTAAATGCAGCATCAGGTACATGGAGCCATCTGATGGAGAGAGAGGTTCTAAGTGTAGAGAGGAACCATGGGCACTGGAAAGCCAGTGTGTGGTGAGTCTTCCCTGAAGCATGGTTCGGAGGCAGCAGGACACAGGCAAATGGCCTTGGAATCCACCCCTGTCTACCTCCAAGAGACCTGTCTCTAGCCTCTAGAGCTTTGAAGACGACTAAAAAGAAACATTCCAAACAAGGCTAGAAAATGGAATTGAGTTAAAACAGCTGTGAATTAGCAGAGACAGTACCGAACTGTACCCACGGGTTTAATCTCTTTAAGACAACGCCACTTTGGGGGCTGGAGCAGTAGCCCGGTAGTTAAAAGCTCTGGATGCTCTTCTAAAAACACTTAGGTCCAATGGCCAGCACCCACTTGGTGGCTCAGCTGCCTGTGACTCCAGTTCCAGGGGGCCTGGCACTTTCTTCTGGCCTCTGTGAGCCAAGGTAAGCCTGTGGTGCACAAATGTACATTCAGGCAAAACACCAAAATAACTAAATATGTTTCTAAAAGATCATGCTTCATAGAGTTTAGGGTTTTTTTTAGGTGTAATTGAGAGAAAAAGCATAACTTGCCTAGTTGCCCAGGCCAAGGCCAAAGTGGTGGCTCTCTGGCCTGGGAAAACCATACACAAGATACCACAAATGGTTCTCACCAGCAATCCTTAGCTACAAGCAAAGTACCAAGGAACCAGTCAATGGCCTTTGGAGGGTGACCCGTGCAGGGTGGCCCCCCCTCAGCCTGCCTGGGAACAAATTTTATGATAACTAGGAAAAGCACTGTGTAATGGAGTGAGTATAGACAGGGTAGAAACAGAAAGTTTTAGAAGTCGGGGTAGGAGAGAGAATGAAAGACAAATCAATTGCTAAGGAGAGTGGACTTCAGAGAAGGAAAAAGAGAAGATGCCTAGGAAGGAGAGAGCAAACCCAAGGGCACAAACAGAATTTTCAGTGCACAGAGAGGATCCCATTAGACAGATCTTTCTGTGTGAGGTGTACATGCACATGTATGTACATGTGTATAGAGACCCAAGGTGACAGACGGAAATCCCCCTCAGTCACCCTCAGCCTCACTCTTTGAGACAGCCTCTCACTGACCTGGAGGTCACCGATTCAACCAGGTGAGCCCAAGGCCCCCTCCCCTCCAGCCATAGGCTTAGGCACACACACCACCTCCTCCCCTCCCTGCTTTTTACATTTGAGGGAGAATCTGAACTCAGGCCCTCTGCTTGTGTGACAAGCATACTTACTGCAGAGCCTCAGAACCCTGTTTTGTTTTGTTTTGTTTTGTTTTTTGTTTTAGATAAGGCAGCCCAAGAAATCTTTTTTAAAATGCGAGTTGAAAAGGCTGAGCCCTCGACCTCGCAGCCTGCAGTGGCTCCTTCAGATCACAGGGGAGTCTCTGAAATCTCTGTCTGACAGATCACGAGGAGGTCCTCGGGATCCGCCCGTCACCTCTCTCAAACTCTGCAGCCATGGGCATGCATGGTAGCTCATGCCTTTAATTTTAGCACTCAAGAGGCTGAGGCAGGTGGATTATGAGTTCCTGATTGGCCTAGTGTATATGGTTCAGAGCCAGCCTGGGCTACATGGTGAGTTTGAAGGTAACTTGGACAACACAGTAAAACACTACCAGCATAAAGAAAAGATGAAGAAAAGCAACGTTTCCCATTTCCTAACACACTGTCACCTTTGCTGCACTAGACTTGTGCTCCTAAATCGCTCTGACCAGGGGTACCTGTGTGTGCACACCTCATTATGCTTATTGGACCACAGAGTGAGTGGTCACCTTTGCCCATGGCCTCCCTTACGTCACCTTTCCCACTGCTGCCACATGTCCACAGCCCTAACCCCTCTGAGATCTTGAGGTGACTTCTCGGTGAGGATAAGATGCCCTGATCTCCTCGCCCATCACTCTCTCCCAGTGCCTGAACATGTATTGACGGCTGGGCCCTGCTGAGGGCAGCTAGCTCACAGTTCTCACTACCCTTCTGGCAGGATGGATCTACTAGCTATTTGGATTTTTTTCCATTTAGTGTGGGGTGTTTGGCCATTGAAATCTCACCTGCTAACCTATCTGACCCACTGCTATACATGTTCTGTCTGTCTGCCTTTGCATATCTATCTGTGTGTGTGTGTCTGTCTGTCTGTCCGTGTGCGTGTGTTTATCTGTGTATCTGAGTACATGTAAGAGACACTCTGTATGTACGGAACAGACTGTTAGGAAAGAAAAATACAAGATCCGGATGGATACTTCTTCCAAATTGCCCTTCTCTCCCAGAGCTTCTCAATGGATCATATATAGTTTGTAGTTCACACTCATAATCTTAGCACTTGGGAGGCTTTGGTGAAAGTTCAAGGCCACATAAGGAGCTCCAGGCCAGCCTGAGCTCCAATGTGAGATCCTCTGTCTGTAAAGGGGCAGGAGGAGAGAGAAAGTGAGTGAAGGAAGGAAGGGGAATTAAAAACCATCCCAAAGCTCAGCTAACATGGGAAAATGCAGCAGAATTGAGGGTGACTGCAGTTGAGACTCAGACTGGCCAATGAGGCTCATCCTCACAGCAAAACATGGAAGACTGTCCATCCAGGCACCCCAGCCACTCATCCATGCCCAGGCAGTCACTTGGAAAGTCATCTTGTACAAAATCCCAGAAGGGGCAGAACCTGGACCCTCCTTTGAGTACCTGCTGGCCACCTTCTGTCCTCTCCTGTACTGCCCAGTCACAGACAGGGACATGAGGCTTAGAGGGAAGTACATGAGTGTCTGGGCAGCTCAGCGGGTTCAGGTTCTTGGTCTTCCTGTTGGGAACAAATCCTGATGCAGGGAAGAAAGTGGGAATTGATTTGCAAGCCTTCCACAGACTTACTGTGCTTGAGCTGCTGGCTCCTGAATTCCAGGCCTTGCAGCGCCCCCTGCTGGCTGGTGGCTTCTGCTAGACTCTTCTGTCACCAGTGGAAAGATGCTGGTGATGTCTTTGCTCCCAGGAACCAAAAGCTGGCGTGAGCTACAGAGAAAAACCAGTCATACGACATGCCCGTTGCTGACAAGCTCAGACTCCCAGAGAGGACAAGACCCCCTTGGGAGAGGAGAGCGGTGTCCCAAACCCTAGGAATACACAGGATCCCAAGTTGCCTACCATACCACAAAGAGGGTGCCATGCTTCACGATTTCCCCACCCAACATACGCACAAAGATCTGTGCCAGTTTAGCTATTTTTAATAACGGTGCCTATTCGTAGCACAAAGGGGCTATTGGTTGTGCCAAAAACAGCCCTAAATAGCAAGTGCTCTTGGTCTATTCAAGTGTGATTTACATTCGGGGAATTTGAGCTTCTCCCTCACTGAGACCAGTTGGCAAGAAGGGAAAAACAAGGTCTGGAGAGCTATGGCAGCCTGTAGCTCAGAGCGCAGACTCACCTGAGTGCAGACTCAGCCAGGTGCAGGCCCACCAGGAGCAGGCCCACCCAGGTGCAGGTCCACCCAGGTGCAGGCCCACCCAGGGACAGGCTCACCCAGGTGCAGGCCCACCCAGGGACAGGCCCACCCAGGGACAGGCTCACCCAGGTGCAGGCCCACCCAGGTGCAGGCCCACCCAGGAGCAGGCCCACCCAGGAGCAGGCCCACCCAGGGACAGGCTCACCCATGTGCAGGCCCACCCAGGTGCAGGCTCTTCTGCACACAGACTTGCCCAAGAACAGACTGGCTTGGGTACAAACTAACTCACATGGCACCATCAACCCCTGTCTAGGTCTGTAGGTATTGTGTACAATGCAGTTTATCTGCTGCAAGACAATCTTATTCACTTTCTTCTTCTCATGTGTTTACACGTATGGGGCTCATATGTGCATGTATGCCTGCATACACATGGAACCAGGTTAATGTTGGGACTCCTACTTTATTCTTTGAGGCAAAACCTCTCAGTCAAACCCAGAGCTCTCCCTGAGACTGCTGCTAGCCAATTTACCCCAGGCATCCCATGTCCCCACTGTCTGAGGCTAAAATTGCTGGCAGACTGCCAGACCCACCTGATCCTTAGTGGGTTTGGGAGATTTGAACCTTATACCCTTATTTGCAAAGCACTTTAAGCACTAAGCCATCTCCCCAGGCTCCTCTCTTCTTCTTCATCATCATCGTTATTATTGTTATTGTTTGTCACTGGGGATTGAACCCCAAGCCTCTCATAGGCTAGGCCAACACTCCACTGCTGAGCTGCAGTCCAGCACTAAGACTGGTTTTATTTTGTATGTCTGTGCACCGCGTATATATAGTGCTCAGAGCCCAGAAGAGGGGGGAGGATCCCCTGGCACTGCAGTTACAGACAAGTGTGATCCACCAGGAGGGTGCTGGGAATCGAACCCAGATCCTCTGCAAGAGCAGCCAGTGCTCTTAACTGCTGAGCCATCTCTCCAGCCCCAGCCCCAAGAGTTTTTAATGGACCCAAATAATCACACTTTGAGTATCTTATTTATTTACTAGTTGTGATTTTTTAATTCTTTGTTGATGTGAGGGATTGAACCTAGGACCTCCCACATTCAGGGGAGGTGTGAGATCTCAGGTAGTCCATGTGTTCCTTCTGTCAGAGGTAAGAAAAAAAAAACGGCTCCTTAGGGCAGATGGGAACTGGTTTCCTGAGCCCTGCAGTCTGGATTGAGCATACTTCTGAGTATATGGACTGCCTGAGACCTTACAGGCAAGGGCTGCAGCCCCAGCCATCTTTTTACTTTGTGTTTTGATTATGGGACAGGGTCTCACTAGCCTGTCCAGGCTGGTCTCGAACTCAAGAGCCAACATGCCTTAAACCTGCACAGTCCGGTCTTAGCCTCCTCAGTAGCTATAGATTTAAAGACTTCTGCTACCAGAACCAGCAAAACTTCACTGTTTTGTTTTTTGTTTTGTTTTGTTTTGTTTTGGAGACAGGGTGTCACTATGTAACCCCTAGTTGTCCTGGAACTCAGTCTGGAGACCAGTCTAGAGTCCAACTCATAAAGATCCACCTGCCTCTGCCTCCCCAGTGCCAGGATTAAAGGTGATCACTATCACATCTGGCCAAAAATTTATTCTTTAAAAAAAAATATATAATTTATTTATGCAGATGAGTGTTTAACCTGCATGTATGCCTGTGCGTCACTCACACGCCTGGAACTGGGGGAGGCCAGAACTGGGCATCAGATCCCCTTGGAACCGGAGATGGAGATGGCTATAAGCTACCGTGTGGGTGCCAGGAACCAAATCTAGGTCCTCTGCAAGAGCAGCCAGTGTTCTCAACTACTGAGCCAACTCTCCAGCCCCAAGAATTGTTGTTTTGGCGTTTTTTTTTTAAGTTTTATTTTATTATATATGTGTAGCTGTTTTGCCTGTGTGTGTATCTGTGTGCCATGTCCATGCAGTACTCAGAAGAAGAAATCCTATTACCTTGGAACTGGAGTCACAGGTGATTGTGAGCTGACACATGAGTACTGGGAACTGAACCTGCATCCTCTGAAAAAGCAGCAAGAGTTCTTAACCACTGAGCCATCTCAGCCCCAAGAATTTGTCCTTGAAGCAGCTGGTCAGTGTGGTCCTCCCGTACTCGAAACACACAAACGCATGCAGAAGGCGTGACCAGGCGCACAGATTTTTGCCAGGGCCCTTCACTCTCACACACTGATTCGTCAACACATGAGAGGCCCTGAGCCTCCTCCGGCCCTTCCTTATTCTAAAATGTGGACCTAGTTTGCAAAAGAGAATGGGAGGATCAGTGAGAGGGCTCCGTGGGTAAAGGCACTTGCTGCCAAGCGTGACAACCTGAGTTCCGTCCCCAAGACCGAGAGCAGGAAAGAACCAATTCCCTTAAGTCGTCCTCTGACCTCTGCACATGTCCATGAAAGCACATGCTGCCACCACCACCATGTGTGTGCACATGTGCACACACAAACACTCATAAAATGTGAGAAATAGAAACAGACATCCTGCCTGTAGCTACAGTAAGCTGCTTGCTCCTGAGAGATCCTGATCGCTGTTAAGGACATCATGGCTAGCAACTAGCAGCTAGTTAGGCCTGGAAGCCTGAAGTGTCTTCATTTGGCAAGGACTTGGGACATACTATGTGCCAGCCACTGTCATGGGGCAGGAGGAAACACAGCCAAAATAGACAAATGTCCTGTGTCACAGTGTTCCTATTATCCTAGAATATATCACCAGCCACAGAAAGAAAGATGCTATTGGAATGGAGGAAAGAGGTATAAGCAGGAAGCTATGGGAACAGATACATCTCGGACAAAATAGCAGGTTGTGGCAGCACTCGGGGCTTGGGGAATGAGAAGGGACCAACATGGAAAACTGAGCTGGGAACCCCAGAAAGGCCGTAAGAGCTTGGGGGCTTGCCCCAAGAAGGGAGTGGAGATAGAGGTGAGCCATCACATGTGTGATGCCCCGGTCCAGGACCTGGCTGTTGGCTCTGTGATGGGGAGCTGACCAGCGAGCTTGGCAAAAGCTGTGGGGTGAGGGTGAGGCCAGCACCTCACCATGTCAAAGCCAGGGAGCTTGGAAGGAGGGTATCTACAGACAACAGAGACAGACCAAGGGCAAATTAGGGCCAGGGTGGTGGTCTCTGTCCCACGATCTCCATGTTTCCTGCAGCCGGTCAACCATCTTTGTACGTCTCCACACCAATGGAAATCAAGAGCTGCAGTACCAGCCAGGGGACCACCTGGGTGTCTTCCCTGGTAACCACGAGGACCTCGTGAACGCCCTCATCGAGCGACTAGAGGATGCGCCTCCAGCCAACCACATGGTGAAGGTGGAGATGCTGGAGGAGAGGAACACGGCTCTGGGTGAGGCTCCCAGCGGTACCTGCTAGAAGGGCTGGGAGGGTCTCAGAGCCAGGTGAGCAGAGCAGCTGCCGGGGCAAGGGTGGCCTGTCCGTGTCGGCTTCCTACCTCACTCCAGCCAGTGAAAGTGTCTGCAGCAGCCTCTACCCCTCCTTCACTTCCTTCTCTCTTTCCACTTCCTCCCCTCTCTTCCTCCCTCCTTTCCATCCTTCCTTTCTTCCTTCCTCCTCTTCCTCTTTCCCTTCCTCCCTCTTCTTACTTTCTATGTAGAATAGGCTGACTTCCAACTTTCAGTTGTCCCGCCTCAGCCTCCCGAGTGCTAGGATGGCAGACACAAACAACCACCTGGTTTGAAGAACCTCCAAAGCCAGTGGGTCTCCAAGCTTCTCCTTTACTTCAATAGATACGGCTCCAGCCTCCAGTACAAGTAGCTGTGGTGGCCATGCCTGACAGCCTGTGATGCCATGAACTGTCACCTTTATAGGGGAGCACACTAGAACATGAAAATGGCATGCCTTCTGTCAAGGCCTTCCTGCAAATCCTCAGAGCCTCTGTGAGGAGGCATGCCTCCCTTAGTGAACCCAACCCAATATAGTTCTCTGTGTTAGACCAGAATTTCCATCTCATCTTGAATTGATGATGGGGCAAGAGCTCATGGCTGGAAGGGACATGGAGGCAGAATAGCCTTTCTCTTCCATAGAGGGAGGATTCCAGGACCTCCTAGAAGATAGCAGAATCCAAACATGCCTAAGACCCTTAGAGAAAAGCCACTGTATTCACAGAGCACTTACGCACACTGTCATACTTACATATCACTTATGTGAATCCTTTGTACTTTAAACCCTTTCTAGATGGCTTACCCAATGTAAATACTGTATGTTAGCTCCACTATAGTTTTTAGGGATGGCGGCAAGAAAAAAAAATGTCTACACGGTTCAGTACAGATGATTGCTTTCTCCTTCATGGCTTTCATTTCAATGCACTAAATGCAGAAGCCATGGACCTGGAGAGCCAGGGTACAGCATAGTTTGGACAAGGTGTAAGGCCAGAATTCCTGCCTTCACACATGAAAGCTATGTGGCCTTGGACAGATTCCTAGGCCTCTCTGTGCTTCCTTTTCCACACCTGGAGAGATGCCTATTGTGAGGACTAAGTGACCAGAGCCTCACCCCCTCTGTGCCTCCCCAGGTGTCATCAGTAATTGGAAGGATGAGCCTCGCCTCCCACCCTGCACCATCTTCCAGGCCTTCAAGTACTACCTGGACATCACCACGCCACCCACTCCCCTGCAGCTGCAGCAGTTCGCCTCCCTGGCCACCAATGAGAAAGAGAAGCAGCGGTTGCTGGTCCTCAGCAAGGTGGGTCTTGGGAGCCCTGCAATGCCTGGGCTTCAAGAAGCAATGAAAATGCTCTTCCAAGTGTTTGCATCAAGTGGCAGTCTTGAGCAGGGGGCGTGTCCTCATTTGCATATGGCCACCATATTGGCTTGTCCCATCTGTCTCCCAGGCTCTAAAGCTCGGCATATGAAGAGCAGCTCCTCTTGAAACTCAGCAGCTGGCTACCACAGGCATTGCTATAATAACTCTTACCACCTTCCTTTGTTATTTGGAGCACTTTTCAGCATCATCTTAACCGATACAAGAAAGAAAGGGAAGCAGAGACCCTCCTGGTGGGTTTACAGACAGGATCAGTTCTGGTAGTGGTGACAATAGTGGTTTCTTGTACAAAAAAAGACTGCTAAATAAGAGACCTATGGTGATTAGATGAACCCAACAGGTTCACTACCACCCTTGCCTAGTCACCATGAAGGTGCCTGCCCAAGTTGCTGCCCAGCCTTGCTCAGTAGGGCATCTAGGGTACAGCCCTGGGAAGCCCTGAGTTCAATCCCCAGGACCACATAAACTAGATTTGGTGCTGCATGCCTGTTATCTCAGCACTTAGGACATGGAAGCAGAAGGATCAGGAGATCAAAGTCACCTTTAGCTACACTGAGAGTTTTATGCCAGCCTGACATGCATGAGACACTGTCTTTAAACATTTTTTTTTAAGGCAAGATGGCTTCATGTGTAAAGGTACCTGCTCACAAGTCCAACAGCCTAGTTCCGTTCAGTCCCTGGGTCCCACACGGTGGAAGAAAAACCTACTCCTGAAAATTGTCCTCTAACCTCCACTTGCATGTGCAAACACACACACACACACACACACACACACCTACACACCTATCTATGCACACAAAAAATAAAAAATGTAGGCTGGAAAGATGTCTCAGTGCTTTACAGCACTGGCTGCTTTTTTCTTTTTCTTTTTCTTTTTTTTTTTTTTTTTTTTTGGTTTCTCTGTGTAGCCTCAGCTATCCTGGACTCACTTTGTAGACCAGCCTGGCTTTGAACTCACAGCTATCTGACTGCCTCTGCCTCCCTGAGTGCTGGGATTATAAGCGTGCATCACCATGCCCAGCTACTGAATTGGCTGCTCTTGCAGAGGACCAGAGGACCAAGGTTTTATCCCCAGAACCCACATGGCACTTCACAACTCTAGTTTCAGGGAATCAGGTGACCTCTTTTGACCTCTGGAATCACCATGCAAACTTACTGTATACATACATGCATTGATGAAAACATTAACACATAAAGTAAGTAAATCTAAATTTAAGAAAATTAATATCACTTAAACAATGAAGACACCTACCCAGGTGAACAACCCAGCACAGCCTTTCCCAGTGAGGGGAAGGTCTCCTTCGCGGGAAGCACGCCCCCAGCAGAGGCCGCTTCCTTTGCTATCTAAGAAGGGGGACTGGGTGTTGGGTAGCAAGGGAGAGGCTCATTAGCAAGTGCATATTATCAAGAAATGTGAAAATAAACACCAGACGGCAGCTAGGACTCTGAAGTGGGGAGCTGGAGACAGATGGCATGAGAGGCCGGCATCGCATCCCAAGCTCAGTGGGACGTCATAATTTTTAGAATATGCTAGAGACGTGTGATTATTGGGGGTGGGCTGAGTATGGGGAAGAAACATTTTGCATAGTATTCTTTCAGAGAAAGTTTCATATAAACTCCATTTCTTCCTAAAGGCACAACATCTCCAAGACAAGATAAATGAGTGGGATTTATTTGTTGTTGTTGTTGTTGTTGTTGTTATTATTATTATTATTATTATTATTATTATTATTATTACTACTACTACTTCTATTGTTGTCCAAAACACGTATAAGAGAGAAAATGGGCCTGGGAGGGAATAGTCAGACTACAAAGCAAAGCTGACCCCAGAGAAAAAGAAAGTGAGGGGGGTTAGATGGAAGTGTCCCAGCTTGCAATGTGATTTCCGAAAAAATGGCCAAGGTCCTTGGGGGGATCCTAGAGCCAAAGTCATGGTTCCCTAGAAGAGGTCACCTTGGCATGTGTCAGGAGCTTGACCACCCTGAAGGAATTGACGCCCAGCAGCAGCACAGCTGCCTAAAGTCACTTTCAGGTGACTTTTTCACCGGCAGGAGGAAGTCAGGTGTAAGTGAATGCTTATTCTGAGTCTTCCACTGGAGGCTCTTGCTCAGGAGCCCTCTGTTGTGTTCTGAATGTGAAATAATAGGCTGGAGAGTTTGCTCAGCAGTTAAGAGAACTTACTGCTCTTCTGCAGACCCAAGTTTGGTTCCCAGCACTCACATCAGACTGCTCACAACTGTTAAAACTCCAGCTCCAGAGAATTTGGACCTCTAGCCTCTGCCGACACCTGCACACAAGTGGACATTCTCACATGTAGACATTAACACACACACACACACACACACACACACACTGCATAATTAAAAAAAATAAAAATAAATCTTTGAATGTGCAGGGTCCCCCCAGGGCTCCTGCACTTGGTCCCCCACTGGTGGCACTGTTTGAGAAGGTCATGGGACTCTTAATGGGCAGGGCCCCCCTGGAAGAAAGTGGGTCATTAGGGGTAGGCCTTGAGGTCTCATAGCAGCCACACACCCCTGTTCATTCTCCACTTCACTCCTGCTGTGCAGGGGGGCGGCCGCCTCGTGTTCCTGAAACCACTTGTCCACCATGATTGGCAGCATTCCCTTGAATCATAAACCAAAACAAAGCCGCCTTCCTTTAGGTCGCTTCTGGTTGTATATTCAGACACAGCAGCAAGAGAAAGTCAGTAATGGAGCCTCCAGCAACTGCAGGCCACTGAGGCTCTGCATCTGAAATAGATTCCTTTAAAAATACCATTATCAGGGCTGGAGAGATGGCTCAGCAGTTAAGAGAACTTGCTCTTCTCAAAAAGACTGCCTTCAGTTCTCAGCATCCACTCACAACCTGTAATTCCAACCTGTAATCAAAACTGCCTATTAATTCCAGCTCCAGGGAACCTGATGTGCTCTTCTTGCCTCTGCAAGCACCCACACACATGTACACATATAGACACAAACACAGACACAGACACATAAATAATTTAAAGTGATTTTTTTACATGTAAAAAATATTTTCTTAGATGCTTTTCTCCTTTTTATAATTTTTAGTTTTAGTTTTTAGAATTTTTATTTTTTCCCTCATCTCCTCCCAATCATACCCTCCATCTCTCTTCCTTCCTATACCCTTCCCCTAGTCCACTGAAAAGGGGAGTCCTCCTCCCTTACCATCTGACCATAGCTTATCAAGTCTCATCAGGACTGCCTGGATCCTCTCCCTCTGTGGCCTGGCAAGGCTGAGTAGCCAGGGAGAAGTGATCAAAAGAGCAGGCAACCTGCCCCTGCTCCCAAGACACAAAATGTGTGTGGCAGTCAGGGACTGGTATGCTAGCTACAGGCTACCCTCCTAGCTCAGATGCACAGCCTAGTCCCAGCATACCAGGACTCTTCAGTGGCCTCATCTGAGAAATGGGATGATAAATAGCTGCTACAGGGTGAATGTCTATGACCCCTAGAGTTCTCCCATCAAAATTAAACTCCCTCAGTTAGGTTTGATGTGTCACTTAACAAGGAGATGGCATTAAGGGGTAGGGACTGGGCTGGGAATACAGGTTGATGGTTGGAGGCTGGAGTGCGCACAAGGCTCTCTGAATTTGATCACTAGGACTGGCACAATTGGAGGGGGGCAGAGAGAGGAGGGAGGCAAAGGAATAAAGGAAGGAAGAAGACGGAGGGGAGGAAGAAAGAAGGAAGAGGACAAGGAGGAAGGAAAGAAGGAAGGGGGGCCTTTTGCAAAGCAGTTGAGTCAAGGGTTCTGACCTCTTAGATTGGATGAATATTTTTTATAAAAATAAACCAGAAAAACTGCCTCCCCCTTCTGCCATGTTGGGACACGTAGCTGGCACCACCTATGCACAGTAGGTCCCCCACCCCAGACACCAGATCTGCTGGTGCCCCAACCATGAACCTGCCAGTCAGGAATGATAGCTTTCTATTGAGCAAATTAACCAACCTTGGGTACTTCAGGATACCTACGGCCATCTCTGTGACCAAATGCCCAGTAAGAGGCAACTTAAGGCAAGAAAGGCTTTCTTGGGCTTACAGTTCACAGGGTGCAGCCATCATAGCAGAGCAGGTTTGGCCGCAGTCACAAGAGGCAGCGGGTCACACAGCAGCTGTAATCAGGAAGCAGAGAGTGAACAGGAAGTAGGACTGGACTATAAAACCTGATGGCCCGCCCCCAATGACTCACTTCCTCCCAGTAGGTCCCGCCTTCTAAAGACTCCACAGCCTCCCAAACCAGTACTACCCACTGAGAACCAAGTATGCGAACACATGAGCCTGTGGGAAACAGTTCACATTTGAAGCGCAACCATTAAAAGTCCATCTATTTCAAAGCCAGAGCTGCATGACCCCACTGGTGGTTCTGGACATCCTCGGGTTGGTTCACCTCTTCCCTGGATCCCCTCCAGGCACCACCAGTAATCTGAGACCTGGACTGAAGCCCCTCTCTGTTCTCTCTTGCCTCAGGGGCTGCAGGAATACGAGGAGTGGAAATGGGGTAAGAACCCCACCATGGTGGAGGTGCTGGAGGAATTCCCGTCCATCCAGATGCCGGCCACGCTTCTCCTCACACAGCTGTCGCTGCTGCAGCCCAGTTACTATTCTATCAGCTCCTCTCCTGACATGTACCCCGACGAGGTGCACCTCACTGTGGCCATTGTCTCCTACCACACCAGAGGTGCGCATTCGGGGAAGTGCTGGCTGGGAGACCCTTGGGTCTGCATTTTCCCCTCAGGGTGTCTGGAGGTCTGTCCCTGAACTGCCTGGGGATCGGGTCCTTGCAGGACAAGAACCTGCTCTGATTCGCTCCATCCTCTCCGACCCCAAGTGGCACCGAGAACAGGCCGCCCCCACCCTGCCTACCCTACTGTGCAGTGCTCGCAGGGGCATCAAACAGGCCTAGCTGGAGCTAAATAACACAAGGACCACTACAGTGTGCTCCCTTATGATCGAGTAATCGAAGTCTGCAGTGCTTAGAGGCTCTGAAACCGAGGTGGACAGGCCATTCAGAGCTCCTGACCAGGGCCCTCGAGCGGACCAGGTCTGAGTAGTCACAACCAGAGCCATCCAAACCCTGAGCATGTGCCAACCTTAGCTCACTCTGGTTGTGCTGGCCCCACTTCCTCTTCTGAGGTAGGGATCCAGAGCTGGAACTCCAAGGCACACGGCTTGGTATTGAGCTGGGAGGCATTTCACTGGGGGATGAGGGTGGGGCTGGGGCTGGAAAAGGGAGCCAGTGACTGGCATGATGAGATAGGCCATTTACTCATTCTGTTAGATGGGGAAGGACCGATTCACCACGGGGTGTGCTCCTCCTGGCTCAACCGAATACAGGCTGATGACGTAGTCCCCTGCTTCGTGAGAGGGTGAGTGGCTGGTGAGGAATAGGTGCATGTCCCCCATCAACGCGTTGACGCCATGCATTGGAGTGTATGCAGGACCAGCCTGAAGGGCTCTAGATAGAGAGCAGGTGAGGAAGGGTTAACACCGCTCTCCTGAATCGTTCTGAGTTGTTAGGGAGAAGGGATCAAGGGACACACAGCCAGCTGGGTATCCCGGTAATAAGTACTTATACAAGACCTTCCCAGGCTGTACAGACCCGTGAGCATTCTATCCTTAAAGACGTAACAACCCAAAACCTCTTCAGACATCATCAGATGCCGTTAAGGTGGCAGGCAGGAAGATATACCAGGTTGACATTTTTTTTTCATTTTTATTTATCTCTGTGTGTGTGTGCGCGTGTGTGTTATGTAAATGTGAGCACACACATGAAGGTCATAGGACAGCCTCATCAAGTCAGTTCTCCTCTTTCCCCTTCACATACTCTTTGAGGCACTGGTTGCCTGCCTTCCCCCTCCCCCATTAAAGACTTCATGGATGACAAGAGGCCAGTTCTCAAGAGTGGAACAGAGAGTTAAAATCAGGGGCTGAGGCGACGGCTCAGTGGGGCAGGTGCCTGGTGTGCAAATGTGAGGATCTGAAGTCGAATCCCCAGTGCCCTCTTAAAAGCCAGGCAAGAGTCAGGTGGGGTGACTCATGTCTGTAACCCCAGTGATGGGTTGGGGAGGCAGAGATGAATGGATCCGCAGACCTCACTGCTAGCTAGCCCAGGTGAACCAGCGAGCTCCTGGACCAGTGAAAAAACCTGGGTCAAAAAATAAAGTGGGTACTGGGGTTTCAACAAGTTGCTAGTAGGAGTCCAGGGTGGCACTTGAAGCCCCACAGTGCACACAGTAGCTCCCCACTAGAGCCCACCCCCATCCCCAGAGCTCACAGAAAATCCAGGTTAGCTGGGCCTTATTGTCTGTGGGACTTAGCCTGGAGATAAGTGGTAGGGACTGGAAAAAGAGCCAAACTCCAACAACCTTACTTTTTTAATCCCTCTAATCTGTGAATTCTCATCACTCTGAAAGGAAGCCCATGGTCCCATCAGTCTCTCAAACGTGGCTACGTGGGCTACCCTGGGCTCCATCATGGAGGCTGGAGCGGCACGTGGCAAAGCTTTTGTCTCTTCTTTGTCCAGTGCTCCTAGCTTCCACCTGCCTCGAAACCCCCAGGTCCCTTGCATCCTGGTTGGCCCAGGCACCGGCATCGCGCCCTTCCGAAGCTTCTGGCAACAGCGACAATTTGACATCCAACACAAAGGTACATATGGTCCAGGGGCCACTGACCTCTGACACAGAGGAAGATGGAGGGGCCCTGCTCCACCTCACTGCCTGGGGAAGGAAGAGGAGGGGATGCCGCACTGATGTGGCCACAGGTGCTGTATGATCAGCCCACCCAAGCAGACCAGCCTGTCCCAGGGACCTGAAGTCTCATCTTCAGAGGGTATCTTCTTGACTTAAGAAGCCCAGTATTTCACCAAGGATAAGCACGTGTCCTTATCAAATGGATTTGTACGTGTGAGACTGCCTTGTGAACTGTCCCAAGAACAGGCCTTGCTGTGTGAGATGAGGATCAGGTTTGGGAGAAGGAGGGAAAGGACCCCAGCTTCAGCCTCATCATACAAACAAGGAGTCCAACAGTACAAGACAGAAGGACAACACAAATCCAAATTAAAAGCTAGACCACCTGTGCTAGCTCATGTCTTTAACCCCAGGACTCAGAGGCAAATGGATCCCTGTGACTTCCAGGCCAGCCTGATTAACATAGTTCTGGGCCAGCAAGTATTAAGATAGATAGATAGATAGATAGATAGATAGATAGATAGATAGATAGA